TGAAAAGAGGTCAGGCTGCTAGTATTAATTAGTTAAGTTAACCCTTTGTGTAACTTAGTTGATTTTTGTATAAATAGTCTCAAAAAGGGTTGATTAAATTCTGATCTATTGAAATGATCTTGGATAGGCCATTAATTATTTTGGGGGGAAAAATTAAGTGGTGGAATCGAATGGAGGTAAGTAGAATCTCACACACTTTGCTTATTTTCGAATCTATGAATATATATATGTGTTTCTAAATGAAATAATGTTTTATTTCTTTATTTTCGATATATGAAAATAGGATCAAGCATATGATTATTTTGTGTTTCTCTATATAAATGATGGATCATGCTTATGAATGAAATGAGAAAATGATTTATGTTAAAGAATGATTTTATGATAGCTACGTTTTTATATCCCTGAGAAGTGAAATCATCAACACCAGAACTAGTTCTACGACCCAGGCTAACGGGTAATAATAGTTAACAAAGACATGATCATACGACCCTGGCTAATGGGTAATAGTAGTTAGCGTAAGCCCTGGCTAACGGGTTATAATAGTTAGCAATGATCATGAGAATGAAATTGTCGATACGACTAATGTCACGGGTTATAGTAGTGACCGTAGCTAACGATAAAAAAATGATAATGATGATTTATGATGATTTTAATGATTGATCCATGATTTGGTTTGCCTATGATATTTGAATGAAAGCATATTTTACAATGATTTATGAAGTGACATATTTTGACATTGATTTATGAATTTATGAAATATTTGACAAAATGATGATCTTGAAATGTATTGATATTATGATTTAATGAATATTTTGAATAATCTATATGATATGTAAGAAAACGATGCTTGATCTGGTAAGGTGTGTGAGCCTATACTTACTGGGCTGTGGTTTGCTCATTCTCCTTTTACTTTTTCTTTACAGATGATTAAGTAATAAGTTTGATTAGTCTTGTGTAAAGCTAAAAGATGAAATAGGTAAGATTACTTAATCGTCGGAGAATATGTTAGCCAATGAGATTTTAAGAGGCAGTTTTGTATTTTATATGGTTTATATTTGGATATATAACGATGTATTATTAGTTGGATTAAAGATATAGATTTTGCTTGGTAGATTATTTTATTAAAGAATTTTAGAATATTTAAAAAATGAGGCTTCGTATTACTTTAAAATTTTTTTTAAGGTAATACGATTGTGTTATGCTCGATTCAGGGTGTGACAATATTATAGCAAAATTCTATTATTTACGGATAAATAAAATTACAATTTATCCACACACAAAAATTGGGGGTAGTTTATACCATTTTATTATAGAAGTCTTCTTTCATAATGTAAAGGGAGAATGAAGACGCAAAGGCTAAGCTTCTAAGTTGGCAGAATTCTGTGTGCTCATAAGAAACAGAAACGAGTGTTGAGCAATGATTTTTGATGAACATGCAAGGCCACAAACACAAAGCTTACTTAATCATTTATTCCATAACCGATGGAAGAATCAAATGTTAAATAATTGGGATCAGGCCATTGACAGCTAACCTCAATGGTGCACCTTTGGGGGGGCTGCTAAAGCCCCACATAGGTCGAATTACACCTCAAATTTCCTGTCAGCTAGCTAGCCCCTGGAGCAATTTATGGCATATATTAATAGGTTATCCAATGTTGCAGGGCATGTTGAATCTGGGAAATCGCAGTAGAAGACTCCGGTACTTTTGTTTCTTTGTTTTTACATTTTATTAAATTAAAAAAAAAATAAAATCTAGATTTTTTAAATCTAGATTGGTTGATTGAAGATTGACTGCAAATATATAAATATACATAGGGGCTTAACGGGCTGTATATATCAGTTCCGGAGCATGTTTATCTATTCTTGTAAAAAGCCCATCCAGCTGGTCTAAATTGGGGCTGATATGTTCAATTATTATTTGCCATATGCCTACCTTGAAGTCTTAGCTAGACAAGAATATCATACTCTTTTTAATTCATGATAAATTTAAAAAATTAATTTTTTTTTAGATAATGTTTACTATTATAAAGGAAAATATACATTATAAAAAATTTTAAAAAAATCATTTGCATGATAAAGGCTTAATTATATATAGAATAGAAGGATTTTTTTTTGAAGGAATAGATGGAAATTTAGTTTTCAAAAAAAAGATTGTACAATATCATTAATATTTAGATCTTAATTATTGGATTTATTTTAAAAAATACTAATAAAGTTTGGTATTGCAATTTTTTCAAAAACAAATCTTAATTATTAGAATAATCATCAGTCTGAACTATTTTATATATGATTTTGTCATACTTTAATTTAATTATTTTTTTTATAAAAAAAATATAATTTAAGATAGAATAAGGGTTTTATGTACTGAAATTCGAATTCAAATTTAAGAATGTTATCTGATTATATAAAATCAACCAAGTTAAGCTTTAGATTCGTTGGGCAATATATAATTCTTTTCGTTGTGCCATCCTTAGCTAGTTGATTTTTGTCCTTGATAAAATCATCTCTTCCGATGAGACAATCAATTAGTTTATCTTTTCTGTTAAAATCTCTTTTATCAGAAAGATTGATGAATTCAACAGCAAGTGAAGAACAAGAGCATCAACAAGACAAGCTTTGATGAATTAGCCGATAGCCTGAAAGTAGATGTGTTCCGTAGCTTGAGGAAAACTTAGACGCATTTCTAAAGCATGGAGCCATCTGCTTTCCCATATACTCTGGACTCTTATACAAGAATGAACATAGAAATAAACCGCTTGGTGATCGGTTCTATTATTTGTCTTATGAACCTATTTCACCATGGGATGAATCCTCTTTCGACCGTTATTTCGCTCTTGATTTCTTACGTTTCCCTTTTGATCTGAGCAGAGAGTTTCAGGAAAGTTGCAATGGTTTGCTTTTGCTATGCCACAGTCACCATCAGACTTTGAACACCGACGTCAAGGAACATTAATGTACGATTTCTGACAGCATTATTTCATACTGCTACACAATTAACTGAAACTTATCAGGTAACTATACATGAATTGCTGCATTTGAAAAAAAAAAGAAGATATCATCAATGCATACGACGATATCACCGACCAATATATTAGTTATTACCAAGCCTAAGCCAAACTCTGGTGGATACAAGTACACGGCCTTGGCCTATCATGCAGCCAAGTCATCCCACTTCAAAATTTTTATGCATGTAATAATATTAGGTTACACAATGCGAGACAGTCCTTTCTATCTCATGAATTCCGTCTCATCCATCTCAAAATTCAAACTTCCAAAATGAAATCCTAAGCTTTTGGTGCTGTTTTCTTGAAGACGTAATGAAGTTGAATTGAATCAACAAGTAGAACATTTAGACCCATACCGCAAAACATGATCCTCAAACTCAATTATAAGTTTCAAGTTTTCAAACGAAGTTGTTTTAATCAGTCGATTAACTCAAACTTTGATTGTTTTTAGTGCATATAATTTTGGATTTACTTAATGAGAATTGACCCTCTTTTACTCAAAATTCATATTTACAACTTTCAAATTGGAATGACAAATAATAAATCATTGAGCTGCCCTCAAGGACAACTCAAACATTTTGTTTTATAATTCAACTCAATTTGTTTATGAGTAGAAATGAAATAACACGAAAATAAGGTGAGCAAATGAAGACGTAGTGCAACCCTCTAGGATTGGGTCAGGATTCGGGGAATAAGTGCAATGGGCTCTACACCTTTAGGCCCATGAAATTTGTGAAGTTGCTGCTGCCTGGTGCCTGCATGCAGAAACAAAAGAAGTGGGGCAATGGCGGGTTATTGCGCTTTTAATGAATGTCAACATTTTGTATGTGAGATCTTCAACAGTCTTTCAATGGCTTTCTTTCAACTAGAATATTCTTATATAGGGAATAAACAAATCAAAAAGAGTGTGTGTAGTATATGCATTGCTAGCCTCCAAAACGGGGTTTTCAAATTTGTAGCAGCAACCAAAAAATTTAGGCTTCTGTGGCCAGCATGGACAACTTGTCAGAGGACCACAGTTTTCATAGATAAATTATAAATAAAACACAAGGTGAGCCCATTACATTTTCATTAGAAAAAGGAACATTATCTACAGTTATCTAAAAGAAAACTGTCCATGGCATCAACAATGTTGAGTGGTGTATGTTATATATCTCACGTCTTTCATCTTCAAAATTAGTTTTTAACTTATTACCAATTATTGATTTTAAGCTCAAATATTTAATACTATATCAAAACTTAGATTTATTATTTTTGTTTTTTTTTTTCTTATGAGTTCATTCACATAATAGCTAAGATTCCAGTGGTAAATTAATTACGTCGTGTTCCTGTTCGATACCATAATTATTACTAGTACATATGGTATGATTGCCAGAACTTGTCCTGCTTGAACGAAAAAGACAGTCCAAAAGCACAGATAGGAAAGGGTCACACCCAAAATTCAACGATTGCAAAATTCTAGACAGTGACAAATCACCCCTTACGTTTAGCGGGGCTTAACATCGCCATCCTAGAGTACAAGGGGTACAAAGATGCGAAAAAGATTTTTCTTCGTTACTCCATTAACTCCACCACCACCACCACCACCAACTTATTTGGAACGGGGACGGTTGATGAAAGTTAAAGATTTGCCATGGAAACAAATTCTTTAAAATCAGAATAGGTTTTTGTGGCTTTGGTTTTTGCAAGTGGGGATAACAGATTAAAGAAATCGGACCCCCAAAAGTGAGCTAACCATGTGAAATGCATGGTTTCAACGGGCCCATTTGGTTTTTAGTCCCTTGTATACATGTAATAATAAACAGGAAAAGAAAGCCATATGACTTATCTGATGTCAATAATGGGTAAAGTTTGAAATTCTATTTCTTTTTCGCATTTGACTGTCAGAAATTGAATTATGCTTAGTGAAATTGAGATTTCTTGATTTTCTTCGTAGGTTTCCATTCTATATAATCCAGAAGATGTCAAAGTAGCCAAGAGGGCTGAAGCAAAATTCAGGGATTGTACTGAGTGGCTCCTTTGACTGAAATTTGGCCGGTGTCTTCTACTTTATATATCGTATTCTTTTTACCTTCAAGGGCCCATTGAAGTGTATTAAAAGCACGCGGACTCTCCCAGTTTTGTTCATTGCCTTGCTCCAACTAGTACAAAAATTCAATAGCTCTTAATCACAGAAGACAGTCGTTATATTGTTCAAGTCTGGTTCAAGCTTAATTTTTCTCCTTCAGATTCTTGCTCGACCACCACCTTTGCGTCCCCTTCTTCAGTTTAGATTTATGGATTTGAACTACATAAAGCAATCTCTGAGGAAGAAAAGATCAAATCGAACAAAAGGGTTATTGATGGAAGGCAATGGGAGTGATCAGCAGAGTTATAAGAAAGGCAAAGCCTATAGGCACCCAACTTATCGTGGTGTCAGGATGCGAAGCTGGGGAAAATGGGTATCTGAAATACGCGAGCCAAGGAAGAAATCAAGAATTTGGCTTGGAACATTCCCGACAGCAGAAATGGCAGCTCGAGCCCATGATGTAGCCTCGATAGCAATAAAAGGTAGCTCGGCTTACCTGAATTTCCCTGAGTCAGCTCATGAACTTCCTAGGCCTGCTACCTCTTCTCGTAGAGACATTCAAGAAGCTGCTAATAAGGCAGCCTATGCCATGATTGATCAACAAGAAAGCTTCGAAGTTAAGGGGGAGCCAAGTCAGGATGCGATGCCAGTTCCTCATTCCCCGAGCTCCAACACAACGTCATCCCAAACTCAGGGTTCCCCATCTTCTCAATCAGTGAATACTGATCAGAGTATGTGGTTTGATCTTCCTGATCTCTCCGTGGAAGCAAATGCAAGTCATCGATTTGGTTACAGTTCCTGCTGGCAACAAGCAGGAATTGACACTGAATTCCAATTCGAGGAAACAATGCACTGGGATAAATAGCGGATATAGTCCTCAGGAGAAACCATTCGGGTCGTGAAATTGTGATCTCCAGCCCGTGGTTTGTTTCAAGAATTGGGGCTATGGATATCTTCCTTGACCAACTTTACCTGTATAAAGACCTTGATCCATACTCCAGAAACATACGTGTATTAATTCTGCGTACTAATGGAATAAAAGTGTAATCTGAAGATTTCCTTTTGTTCAGTGTCCAACGGATTCCAGTGCATCTGGCCCTAGATTTGATATTGCAATGAAACTTCCAAAATAAATACCTCATGATTGACAGACAGAGGTGCCAGTTCAAAGAATCTCTTTTCAGGGCGGGGGAAAGTTCTCTGTTGGCCAAATCAAGCTGTTATTAACATATGTGATTACTCTAAACATAGGGCATCACACTAATTAATACTACATATTTTACAAGTCCATTTCAGAAGAAAGATGAAAATTTTTTTCGTAACGTGATCTATAGTATCTTCAGATATTGTTTCAGCTTAATTCTCTCTCAGAACGATCTTGATAATTGAAATACTGCATGAAATAAAACAGCAATGACTTGGAATAGAAACATGTTAGAAATTCCAGTCAAGCCTTCTTCTTTATGCTTTCCTCAATAGTTCTAATTGGCTAAAGCAAACTAAATCTTCATTTCTTTGTGCTAGTATTTCATAAAGACAAGAGTCAAATCCGGCCTTTATCTAAAGGAGGATTCGGGCTTAATAATTTAGCCTACAACAACAAGACATGATCTTGATAAATAAACTACATGGAATTCACGTCTTTTCCATCTGGACAATAAAGCTCAATTTGACAAGGATAAAGAAAGCGACAAGTGATTACAGCCATACAGACTGGCTAACCGCACAGGCGACTTTCTTGTCTCCATCTCTATTTACTTTTTAGTCCAATTATTATCAACCTTTAAATATAGCCATCGACCTAGGCGGCCTAAAGGACCACAGCAATCCAATGTTTGACAACTGAGTACAACACTAAATGCAAGCAAATTTGTCACTATCATTCTCTGATTGAACAATTTGGTGGATAATTTACAGCATCTATAAGAATTCTTAGATTTTTTTTATTTGACTGTTTTATTAAAAAAAGAAAAACATTGACAGCAACATGAATCATTAATATTGGTCTGATCTGTTGGTGAATTAATGGCAATGAATTTTACCTTAGGATTGAGTAGGATCTGGCTTGCCATAAGTGTCTGAATAGATAAGATTATATATAAAATAATCCAGCTTGAATGCAAAGATGGTAAAAGAGAATGTGATGCATGTGCTTGTGTTTACAGGGAGATTCAGATTAGGCAAAGAGAGTGCTGCTAATTAAAGGTCTACCTATCCTCTGCCTCTCAAGTTGGTCTGAGTCAGACAAGTGCATCAAATTCTTTGCATCTTGTTGTGAGAGATCAGATATATACTTGTATGCTTTTGATGCCTTGATTCTTTTCCTCTTTTTTGCTTTTCTTTCTTTTTTAATTCATTTTTCTTCTTGTTTCTTTTTCATCTGGGTTGTCTTCCAAATAAAGGGCCAATTGTTGAGTATATTTGCTTTTTGAATTTCATTCCTAGATCTTTTGTGCTTTAATTAATTCCTCCTGAAAAAAAAAAAGGTTAAATTGTCATAATTGGGGAAAAAAACACACACACATACCTGCAGAGTAATTTCAGTTATAATTCTACTTTGTTATATTAATTATAAGGTGGATTAAATAAGCTCATGTGGTCAGCTGTGACAATTGTGTAATCTATTGGTAAAAATCAAAATTTAATCTTTAATAGTTTCAAATATATATATATATATATGTATATATATATAAATTCTTCTTGGTTAATGGTATTGGCAGATTTCATTGGTATATATGGATTCAAGGAAAGGAATAAAATAATAAGATTATGCATCATATTCAAATACGGACATGTAATATGAATACGATATAAATATAAAAATATAATAATTTTTAAAAAATAAAGATATAGATATGACAAGACACGGTAATAAAAAAATTTTGTTTATATATTATAATCATTAATTAAAAATATATGATAGATATTAGATTAATTTTTAAAAGATATTTATCTTAAAAAAAAAAAAAAAAAACTTGATGGTAGACAAAACAATGAAAGACATATGGTATCATTATTCAGATTGAAAATTACTTTTTTCTTTCTCTTTATTGTATCTCTAATTAAATTTTACACGTATTTTGACATTTCGCAAGTGTCAATCTTAAATAAAAATTCGATAAAAGTATGTCAAGAATTCAAAATTGTTCGTGTTTCATAGTTATGCACTATATATTCTGCAATCTTCCTTTAAATTTTTCATAAATATATATCTTGAATGGATTCAAATACAAGAAATTTTTTTTGTAACATACAAGAAAAATATCTACATATATAGGAAACTAATTTGATTGTCTCATGCACTCTGTTTTCCTTGTGTACAAGCTTGCATCATCCCACAAGAAAGTGACATCTTCCGAAGAAATCAGCTGTTAAAACACTTATTTCTTAACTTGTTTTTATATATCAAGCTTTCTTAGTATACACATATGAAGCTGAATTTTTAATTATAATTACCCATTTTTTTCTTCGTTTTCAAATCAATGGTAATTGGAAATTTAAATTCAAACTTAAAATTTATGAACTATGTTTGACTTTAAAATTTTATATAGAAAGTCAAAACCAGATACAATATACGAAAGAAAGGAAATACCATACATTAGCATTAAACTGACTTAATAACTACTAACTTATATATTATTACATTAATATAAATAAAACCTAATAAATGTAAACAAAAATTAAGAATACAATGGTAATATTTGATATTTTTAAACTCTTTTATTTGATAATTAAAATTATCAATACTCATGTGATTTATTAATAAAGTGTTAAATTTTTATTTTTAATAATCGAAATTGTTAAGTACAAATAAAAATAAATTAATCAATGAATTCAAAATTACATATATAGTTACTAAATCAAAATTTTACAAATAATACTTGAACATCTAACTAATTCTTCAATTTAAAACTCCATAGAAGAGCAAACCCCCCTTGAAATTATGAAAAGGAGAGAGGATACAAAATGGACTGACAAATAGATTTATTAATCTAAAATATAAAATAATGATATTGTATGAATATAATATGAAAAGAATATAAAAATAATAAGATTTAAAATTTTAATAATAATTATATATAAATTTAATAAAATTAAAAAATATATTTTATATCAATACAATTTATAATATATAATTTATATATAAAATATAATATAAAAATATAAATTTTAATATTTTATGTAATAAATATATACGAATCATCGTATGTAAATAAAATAACCCTTAACGTGGCAATGAAAGCTTAGCAATCTCCCGCACCATGTCAATTAATATTGGACTTGTTTTGGTCCTTTGGTTAATACCAGAAGAAGACCCAACGTTCGGACTCGATTTGTTCCCAACTCTAAATATGTCCCAAAGGACATCCCTCCATAGCCACCAGCAAATTTGAGGCCTCTGACGAGCCGATGCATGCAAACAAAATCTGCCAGAGAACTGCATTTAATGCTTGGGCCATGAAAATCTGGCGAGAGGCTTCATATAATTTTATGGGAATGGAGCTGAGGTCACTCATGCCTCATGCCCATGTCAATCGAAACCCTTCGGCAAAAGCTGGTAATAAATGAGGGTTACAATAACTTATAGAATTGAGCAATGAGGTCAATAATGTCTCATGCTGACGTACAACATTTATTTGTTCAATGGTTTGTGATTTTGATTATTGTGAAGTAATTTTTGTTTATGGATTATTGTCCTTGTTGAGGTCAAATCAAGGAGGAAGGTTGGGCTGATTGAAAGCTTTCATGATTGCAAAAATGAGATTATCAGGGGTTTGATGGATTTTTTTCCAAATGATTATGTTCTTATTCTACCAACACACCATGATAACTGTCAAGAGTATGTGACACTTGCTTTTAGTCGCCATTTGTAATCCGAGTCGGAGAAAGGGGCATCATGAACCTTGATTGTTTGGGTTTGAGAGTTGAAACCCTTGTTATTTTATAAATCATTATCAACGTAGTTTTCGGTTCGAAGTAATTATTTTTGTTGATAGTGTTTTTGGACGTATTGTTAAAGGGATGCTGTCTGGAAATTCAGTGGAAGAAATTTTGAATTTCTAGCAATAAAGTATGGTTAAAGAATGCAGAATTGATTTTTCAAGATGTGTTTTAATGTTTAAATCAATAAAAATGTTTAAAATTTTGATGAGAAAGAAAGTAAAAAGAGAATATAAGAAAAGCTTCACGAGAAAGGATGTTTAATTTTTACATGTTTGGATTTCTTTTTGTTTTTTATATAAAAATAAATTAATGACATAATTAGGATAATTAACAATTGATGGTTACATGAAATTTGAAAAAAATTTACGTGGATTGTATTTAATAATTTTAAATAAACATAAATTTATTTAATAATTCTTAATAAAATCAGTTGCGTTATTATGAAATTGTGCCTTAATGAAATATTAGTAAAAATATCGGATAGGTCCTTTTTTAACGAGGTATTAGCTTGTGTTATAGTGAGAGTTTGGATGTCAACTCTTACTTATGTTGCCATGATAGTTGAATGTAGATTGATTAAATGATTAAGAGTATTAATTTTATTGACCGAATTGATAGATATAATAATTTTAAAATTTATGATAATTTTTATATAATAAATAAATTATTATGTATGATAAGTATTTGATGTCATTCGTAATAATGATTTTATTTTCCAATGCAAAATGATTGTGATTACACACACTTTCAATATGAAGATAGAATTGAATCATCAAAGCAGGGACAAACTCGAAGATCAGTGCAACTCTGTCTAGGTTATTCATTAGGCTGCTCTGTTTGGGTTTTAGAGCGCTAGACATGGGTCCTCGCAAGGCTTGCACCCAGACCGTGTTTTTTGTTGATCAATGGCTAGCTACTGATGCTCGGCCTTTCCAGTTGACGGTTGTTCTTGACAGGTGAAATACGCTGGCTGGGCCTCCCTAGCATAGGATAAATGGGCCTTTTGTTTAACCCCAAAAGATCTGCTTGGGAGGTTAGGCTTGAGATTTTTGGTGTTCAAAGAGTTTGTAACAATAATATGGCGGTGAGAGGTTAATTTTGGTCTTGTTGTTCGGGGATTTTGATGGATTTTTTGGATATGTTATAAATGCCTTCTTGTGTGGGAAATTTAAATCTAATAATTCATACATTTTTATCATATAAATTATTAAATTTTATATTTATATTTTATTTTATATAAAAATTATATATTATAAATCGTATTAATATAAAATATAAAATATTTTTTTGATTTTATTAAATTTATATATAATTATTATTAAAATTTTAAATTATGTTATTTTTATATATTATTTTTATATCATATTTGTATTGTTTTATCGTATTATATTGTAAATTATCAAATTTAGCGAAAACCTTTGTTAAACAACAATTGTGATGACTAACGAGCAAAGAACTTTTAATTTAATGATATTGAAATATGTTTTAAAATTGAGGGTTCGAATTTTGAATTTCAATTATAATTAAAGAAAAAAACAAAATTGATGCCTAATGCAATATTGATATTTTTGTGAGAAAAATGAGAAGTTAAAAATTCAATTTATGCATAGGCAAGAGCATAACCAAATGATAATCCAATACTATTTCTAAATTTTAATTTGTAATGAATTATGCAAGTTAGTAGAATTTGCATAAACAAGAAACATGTCATATAAACAAAGTTGGCTTTATTTCTTATTAATTTTATTAAAAAATTAATATATTGTGTTTATTTTTAAAAACTAATTAATAATATGGAAAATTTTCAACCTTAATTTAGGAATTTAAATGTATGATTAGTTAGTTATGAACTCATCGTCCAACATATGAAATTTCTTTTAAAAAAATTTCGTGATCGGCTAAAAGCATTAGGCATATATGATCGGTTGGGACCAAAGCGATGGCCCAGTAATTGTTGGGCTCGGGCGCTCCAATCCAATTAGACCAACATGGCTTGGATCCGACCCCGAAAGAACCAACCACTCATACTTTGATGGGTCGAACTCGAAAGCCACATTTCAGATCCGAATTCAACAAAAGAGACGCAGAGCGCGCTGCACCGCACCGCCTAATACCTATAAACTGACCAACCCGAACTCAGGTTTTACTTTACGGAAAAGCGTCTCCAGAAGTTTTCGTCTGTTCCTCTTCTTCTCTATCTAACTCAAACCCTAAGGCCCTCTCATCTCTTTGTTTGGCTTCTTTCCGATGGATTCTGTCGAAGCAAGCCCTAATGATCCCCAATCATTTTCTGCACAAACCCTAAATTTTTACAACCAAAACCCTCCTACGCCTCCCGAAACTTTAGCCCCCGATTACCCGCAGCCTCCACCGTCGTCGCAATCCGTCGACTCCGATTTTTCCAAAACCCTAGGATCCGACCCTGATCATGGCTACAACAATAACAACAACGGTGTCCAGGTTGATCACGATGCCGATTCCAATACTATAAACAATAATTCTTCATCGAAGCCCGAGATCCAGAAGCCTCTACTTTCTGAAAATGGATTAACTAACACTCATAGCGGCACCACTGACAGGGATTACTCTGGCGGAGAAGAGGAAACCACCAGCCGAAGGCGAAGGAGGAGCAGGTGGGACCCGCCTTCCGATTCGAACAACAACCAGAGCGGGAATGATGAGACGGGCGGTGGAACCAAGAAGAGGAAGTCCCGATGGGCAGATGATGAGCCGAAACAGGTAATTCAGCTCCCTGATTTCATGAAAGATTTCACTGGAGGTATCCAATTTGACCCTGAGATTCAAGCTTTGAATAGTAGGTTGCTAGAGATTAGTAGGATGTTGCAATCTGGATTGCCTTTGGATGATAGACCTGAGGGGGCTAGGTCTCCCTCTCCTGAACCAATATATGATAATATGGGAATTAGGATTAATACCAGGGAATATAGGGCAAGAGAGAGATTGACAAAAGAGCGACAAGAAATTATATCTCAGATTCTTAAGAAGAATCCAGCATTTAAGCCTCCAGCTGACTATAGGCCACCAAAGCTTCAGAAGAAGCTTTATATACCGATGAAAGAGTACCCGGGTTACAATTTTATCGGGTTAATTATTGGGCCAAGAGGGAATACACAAAAGAGGATGGAGAAGGATACGGGTGCAAAGATTGTAATTAGGGGTAAAGGTTCGGTGAAGGAAGGTAGGTTGCAGCAGAAGAGGGATTTGAAGCCTGATCCTTCAGAGAATGAGGACTTGCATGTTTTAGTTGAGGCTGAAACACAAGAATCACTTGATGCTGCTGCAGCAATGGTGGAAAAGCTCTTGCAGCCTGTTGATGAAGTATTAAATGAGCATAAGAGGCAACAGTTGAGGGAACTTGCTGCCTTGAATGGAACGATAAGAGATGAAGAGTATTGTAGGTTGTGTGGTGAGCCGGGACACCGTCAGTATGCTTGTCCTTCCCGTACTTCAACTTTTAAGAGTGATGTTTTATGTAAGATTTGTGGTGATGGTGGGCATCCAACAATCGATTGTCCAATGAAGGGAACAACTGGAAAGAAAATGGATGATGAATATCAGAATTTCTTGGCTGAGTTAGGAGGTACTGTTCCAGATTCCGCAAGCAAGCAAAACTCTTCAACTGTCAGTTCTGGAAGCGATCCTCCTTGGGCTAGTAACAATGGAAGTGCTGCAAGTGCACACCCTGGCTTAGGGTCCAATGCTATTAAGCCCCCCAAGGAATATGATGATACTAATTTGTACATTGGATACTTGCCTCCCAATCTTGATGATGATGCTTTGATAAGTTTGTTTTCATCTTATGGTGATATTGTGATGGCAAAGGTAATCAAGGACCGGATTATTGGACTGAGTAAAGGGTATGGTTTTGTGAAGTATGCCAATGTTGACATGGCGAACAATGCTATTAAGGGAATGAATGGTTATCGTCTAGAGGGGAGAACCATTGCTGTGAGAGTTGCTGGCAAGCCACAACAGCCTACTGTACCTCCTGGTCCTCCCACATCAACAATGTCCACTTACCCTGTTTCTAGTCAGCCAGTCGGTGCCTATCCATCACAGCAATTCACAACTGGAGGTCCCCTTCCTAATTCTGTTCCTGCTAGTTATGCAGGGAATCCAGTTCCATGGGGACCACCTGTTCCTCCTCCGTATGCTTCCTATGCCCCTCCTCCTCCGCCTCCTGGATCAACCATGTATCCTCCTGTTCCAGGTCAGCCAATGCCTCCTTATGGCTTGCAATTTCCCCCACAAATGCAGACAGTTCCCCCTGGTGTTCCACCTCCACCTGTTACTCCTAGTGAAACACCTCAAAGTTTCCCACCTGGAGTGCAATCTGAAAACAGTACCTCTGCCCCTGCTGTTCCTACAAATATCTATGGGAACTCAATGACTGCAATGCCACCAAACTCGCAAACTGCATACCAAACATCTTCATTAGGCTATTCTTCCTATTACAATGCAGTTCCTCCTCCCCTTACTCCAGCACCTACATCTTCAGTGGACCATTCCCAGAGCACTAATAATGTGCCTTGGGCACCAAATCCTCCTTTGCCTCCCACAGTCTCCTCTGCAGAGAAAACAACATATGGTGCAGATGCTGAGTATGAGAAGTTTATGGCAGAGATGAAGTGATGCAGATACTTCCATTGATAGTTATATGTGGAGAGGTAATATGTTAAACCTATTTGCTTCTTCTATAGCCATGTGTAGTTTACTAATTTTTTGTTTCATTTTTGATAAACAACCAATTAACCATCTGAAGATCCTTAGCAGTTTTCCATATGTCCTGGTCATGACTGTAAAAGCAAACTGCTCATTTGTACATGCTGCATTATTTTTTAAGTTTTGGTTTCTACTAAGAAAGGCCAACTGTCGTTTCTAATCTTGTTCTTTATGTGAAAGGAATACAAATGCACATATATCTTACGTAGGATCGAGAGCTTGAAAAGGGCAGAAGTTCAAGTTATGATTGAGAGTACTTTCTTTGTTTTATATTTTTTGTATTAAAGAAGAAACTGATCTAAAAGAAGGAAATTCTATCGGTACGTGATCAGATTAATGATAGGAGTTTTCAATTGGATTGTTTCTTAACTTTATATCCTTTACCATTGAACTTTGCTTTTTACCATCTTTACCATTTTATCTGGGTAATCTTACGTGACTGTTTCTATACTTGAAAAGGAAAGAAGTTTTCAAACCAGTCCTATTCTAATGACTTTCAATTGTTGGACGTCTTACTAAATATGAAAGGGTTTCAAGTGTTAACTTTTTTTAATGCTTTACTTTGCCAAAAAAAAAGTGATATCCCACAAATTTGTGACCATCTTTTTCATGATTAAGATTATAATTTGACATTATAGTGCAGTGATGGATTTGGTGATGCTTGGATCTTACGGTATCCACATATTTTCCTATGAGAAAATGCCTTCTGTATTTGGGTTTCTCACATGAATGCTACCAACTTTATCTTCCGAGTTTGCTGTTATTTTATGTTTGCATTTCTTAACCCTTTCCCTTGTTACTATTGTATAATTTTACAGGACTGATGTTTCTTGGAGCTCTTGTGAACCTGATTTCTTACCTCTTGCCATGACTTTGTTGGAAGTTTGGGACTCACATCTTTAACCTTGCTGTACTGTTATGAAATTTGCAGAGACTTGGATAAATGTTCAGTTCATGAAGTTGCATTCTGGAGAGGCCATTCAAATTTTATTAATATTAAATATTTCACTGCTCCTGTAGGACTTGGTTTTATTTTCTGTGAATTCTTATTGGCTTCTGTTTTATGTCTGATTGCTAATGTTCGACTATGGTTCCTTTTGTCAAGCTTTTTTCAACAACTGTTACTGACAATTTTTGTTATTACATTTTACTTCTCTGGGGGATTGTTTAACGGCTTTGTTAATTTGCCTAGCATACTATACTATTTTCTGGTTATAATACCCTTTTATTTGTAAGGATATTAAATTTGCCAAGTTTCCTTGCCTCGAAGCTTCCCTGGCAACCATTTCGTGTTTCGTTTTGTTGAAGGTAATTAAGGCTGCTGGAGTATGTGGATTCTCCCTCAATTAGGTATATATCTATTTGAATGTTTTCTGTGATTCCCTTTGTCTTCATGTTACACTGATGTATCTTCTAAGTTCAGATTTGGCAGGTGAAAGAAACCATTCATGTCTTTGTAGCCACCGGGTTTTCAATATTGTTTTTCTGGGTATTGAACTGAGAAAATTGCTTCTATGATTGCAGTTATTATGGGAAATTATTGTGAGGTGTTTGATTCATCAATCAAGGTTGAGCATGGTTCAACTTAAATTTGATAGGATAGTTGTAAATTTAGAGAGAATTTTGCTTTAGGTCATGAGAAAGAGTATGTATATGAGTATTGCGGGGCATTCATTCAGTTATTCATAAGTGGACTGGTTAGGAACAGATCAATCATTTGAGATAATAATACATCTTTAATAGGTTTTGATTGTTCTATTTGTCTGCTTAAGATAGAAATTGTACACTCTCAACAGCTATTAGGGCCTTGTAGAAAATTGATGTTTGGTATAATTTAGTTTGATACTTCATAAAGAATTGACAAGATGATTATAAAGCTTTGTTGGACTGAAGAATTGGTTACCCATTCTATGATCCACTATATAGGTAACCTTAATATGTTTATTTAGACCTTTGCTGCTGGAAACCATTCTTCTTAATTTATAACCACTTGTTTGTCAAGGTTATTTTGAATCAATACAACTACAAATGGTACAAGTTTCTCCTATGATATTTCTAAGATCATTTATTTAGACTATTAGAGGGTAGAATTCATTTCATATTCTTTTTTTAGTTTTAACTCTTTTTGAACAGCATGCAAGCTCCATGGCAACTATTTTTCACATGTCAAATCATGTCAATTATTGTGCTACATAGATATGTTTAAACTGTGTTTGGTGGAAGGGCCAGTGTTGCTTTTAAAATCATGCATTGCCTCAGAATAACAGTTATATATATTAGATGTAGTTTTTGTCTACTAGGGCAGAGTATTGCTTAGCTCCTTCCCCAGCTTTTAATAATTTAAATTTTGTTGTTGATGCTTTATTGATCTTAGTCTCTCTCTCTCTCTCTCTCTCTCTCTTATTTATCAAAAAATTTAGAATAGGAGCCTGGTTTTCAAGGATGAATTTTGGTGTCATATTATGAAAAGATGAAAATTATTGTTTGATCATGTTGCTTTTTTGAAGAATTTGCCCGTGATAAAAATTATTGAACAGGTAGCTGTCATTTCAGGTTTTATTGTGAATTTCGAAACAGCTCATTTTGGTGTGTTTATATCTGTGCCTAAACTGATTGACCACTTTGGCTTTCTTCTTTTGCTTGTTTGTTTTGCGCTTTGGCATATGTAAGGCTTGTAGTACTTTCAAACAAAGATTGATCTGCATATTTTTCCCAAGTCTTTATCTAATGCTGAAACAACCATACCATGGCTTTCTCTTGTCATGTGTTTCTCATTCTGTAATCCAAAGTTAAATGCTGAGGCAGAATCAGCCAGTTAGTGGCTTTCTTTTTCATAATTTTCTTTTTCAACTTTATCTGACCTTTTATGTACAAGTTGGTCGGGGCATTCCTCATTTGAGATTATAAGATATTTTTGCGAGGTGCAACAGCCACTGGCCTCCTAGATAGAATGGCCTTGCTCTCATGTTGTGAGTGAAGGAATGAGTGAGAAACGCTTCTTCCATTGGGAGAGGGGTTTGAACTCAAAGCATAATATAGTCTTTTGCTGATTGGATGGTTGTTATTTGATCATAGTTTTGTTCAATGGTAAAAAAAAAAACGTTTTGTGTGTGACATTTTATGAAAAGTTTACTATTGCAGGGGTGCCCAATTGTGGGTGTAAAAATGATGTGGCTTGACCTGTAAGATTTGGCTAACGTAAATTTTGGCGGGGCAGTAAGTTGCAGAACGCGTCTTTCCTTGCGTGAGAGATGCCGTGGTGTGCATCTTAGGTAGCCTTATTCGTCTTTGTGGCTAACTTAGATCTCATCCGGAATTTGCGTCTTTGTAGCTTATGAAAAGCTGTTGGCTGATATTGGTTTTTTATCCCTATGTTACATATGGGGAGGGGTGTTTTTTTATTCTTGTAAGATTGATGATCAGTGTGACATATATCTTATGATAGTTTATTTTACAATTAAACCCAAATCAATGTTTTAAGGCATTTTGACTCTAATTTGGGGAGAAAAAAAAAAAAGAAAAAAGGAAGTTAATAAGCTGCTGGTGTAATTGACGGTTCAAATTGTTTTATTTCTCGACCCAATGAATTTAGTTCAAATCCAAAATTGAAAAAAAAATGGATAAAATAAAAAATAATGATAAAAGTTTAGAATAATGATAAAGCTAAAATTATAAAATAAAATTGTTAAACATAAAAATAAATAAAATAATTTAGACCATAAACAATGATAATAAAAAAAATATTTTGTAAAAATATCAAATTAAAACAAGACGGAACTCTTTAAAAAATTGCTACTTTATTGACTCGAGAATTTGTTATTCAAATTTGAACATTTTTCTACACGATTTTTATGAAAATAATATTATTCAAACTGATGACCCATTACTTTCTTAACCAATTAGATAAATTTATCATTAAAAAATAAATCGTTACTCTACTATTTATACAATATAACCTTTATATATGTAGAGTTACAGACACTTTCCTGGAAATTAATATATCCCCGATGGTAGAGTCCCTGAGATAAGAGCACGTGGTCTAGGGTTCGAAGCTTTTCATTTTCCTTTTTTTGCTTTTCCTTTGTCTTCAATCTGAAACTGTAACCCGCCATGGACGGGGACGGGCCTTCTTCTGGCCGGCGAAAGGTAACAATACTGAAATATATTTCTCAATTGCTTCAATTTTCTTTCTCGATTTTTGATTTCGTCAAATTTCGAGATCTGCAGATATAAGCCCTCTTATATATTTTTGGATTCAATTATGTCTGTGATAGTTTAACCTTTCTTCTTATGCAGCTTCGATTCGCTCCCAAAGCTCCTCAATCTTCAAGAAAGCCCAAACTCACGGTTACCAAATCGTACTCTTCCCTCTTCTACTTTATCCCTTTTTCTTTTTCACTACTTCTATTTTCTTTTAATTTATTATTATATTAATGTTTTTTAAAACCTAATAAAAATAAATTTCATCGTTAAAAAATTGCAGTGAAGCGAGGGATGAAGATGGAGAAGCTGCTCAAGCTCAGTATCTTCTGAGTCGTTTCAACGTACGTTCAAATTTTTACGAATAATCTTATTGAATCTTTTCCAGGAGTTCTTTATATAGTACTGCTAATAGATACCTTTTTTTTTTCTTTAAATTCTGTTTATTTTCGCCTTATTTGGTCCAATCAGTTCTTTCGCTTTAAATATTTTTTTCATTCTGGCCAGTGCTTTAAAAAATCTATTTAGGCATATTTGGATTTCGAAATATAATCGAGATAAATCGATGTAATAAAAAATTTAAGTTCGATTTGAAATTTATTATTCAAAAATTGGTTTGAAAAGTTTTAATTTTTAAATTTAAATTCAATTAAAGAAAAAAAATTAAATTATTTAAATTTATTCAATTAAACTCCTTTAATAAAAATAAATTTGATTTTCATATTTGATTTTAAGTTTAGTTATATATTTAAATTTAAGTTCAAATTGATATATGTATATATAAATATAAAATAATAATTTTTTAATAAAATTAATAAAAATATATTAAAATTTAAAATTTTAATTAGATTAATAAATTATTTAAATAAAATATTAAATAATTAAATTTAATTTAATAAATTAAATTATTTAAATTTGATTCAATAATTATTAAATTAAATTTAAATTTTATTCAAATTAAATCCGAATAATGAATATTCCATCGGTTCAATTGAATCCAGGCCTTTCTTTGGCAAACTAGATCGTGAGTTGTAATAAAAGGAAATAATAGCATATATGTTAGTGTATAACAAATTAGTGTGTGAGTGCATGAATATAGAAGAAAATTATTATGTGTGTACGTTATAAATTTTGTGTCCTCACAAATTATATTTGTTCTTCCTTCATTTTAATAAAAAAAAGACAAATACTCAACAAAATAGTGGCCAGGATGTAATTTCCCTAGTTTGAACAATTTCCCGTGTTCATTTTAATACTAAATGTTAAGACATAAACTGGATGGCTTTTGATTTTCTCTTTTATTTTATTACAAGTAAATAAGTCTGTGTGATATTTGAACCCAACCTGTATATATCCTTGCTTGGACCAAAAACTCAGTTGTTTGTTTTTGTATTTTGCAGGAGAATCTAACACGTCAAAAGCCTAAGGTTGAAAAGAAATGTAATCCCACATTAGCTTTTCTTTCATTTCTTTCGTTTGATATGTTATCGTTCATACTATCATGATGTGAATTATTATAAACTTTGATGAGACTGGGGCTTATATACCATATAAACTAGCAGTGATTACCCTGCTTATCTTCTTATATAGATTTGAAGTCTTCTATAGTTTCTCTAGTTAGTCAATGTGAGCGAAAAGGATTACAATTATGAGTTCAGAAGAATGCATTTAGGGAAGACCCTTGGTAATCTAACTTGAAAGATATGTAGTATAGGTATGATTTATAAAACCAACCCTATGTCGTGGGAAATGCCTAACTTATTGTTGTGGTTTAGATAAATTTACATACTGAAAGATTATCAATGGCTCCACCTTTAAATCAATTAACAATTTTGAGTTAAATTAATTATTTGCACAGAATTTTCTGCTGCTAATTTTCAAATTTCAAACCTGCAGCCTCACTGCAAATTGCATTTGGTCCCGGAGCCCCATCATCCACTTTATTGAGGACTTATGGCGCTCAAAAGGGTGAGAGCTCTGGTAAAACAACTGACCCGAGGCAGAGGAGTCCTGATGATAATGATGGGCAAATCATAGGTTCTTTGCCTTCAACTTCCAAGGATGATGGCACTGGTGTATGTTCTTCAGATGCTATTGAAGCATTGGCACCAAAAACCAAGAGAGAATACAGTGAACCATGGGTAAAATTTTGTTCTTTTTTTGTGTGTCTGTGAATGAGTGCACACTCATGCCTCTGTTTGCCTCTGTCAGACTGACACTGTTTGGTTCCATGAGATTGCAGGATTACCACCATACTTACTATCCTATTACCCTTCCTCTGAGGAGACCTTGGTCCGGTGACCCTGGTAAGCTTTCGGCGACTAAAATGACTGATTCCTAGATTCAAGGGATATATAGTACTTTTCTCCTGTAGAAAGAGATCACTGGTCCTTCTTAGAATGCTTTCAGGACTGTTACCAGTGAGTCAAATTTTGATTCACATCAACAATAACAAAATGATTCAAATGAAGTCTACAATGTTTTCTGATCTTTCCTGGTGGCATATTAGTCCTTGTAACTTGTAAGTGAAGCTGAATAGCAAACTTACAAGGACAAAAGAATTAACTAAAAAAAATTATCTGTGCAAAAATTGTAGTAATAATGATAAAATGGCTGAGATGACTCTTGAAATTTGAGATGATAATATTCTTTACATGAATATGGTCCACTACCTGTAAGGTTCAAAATTTGTATAGAGACTGCGTGTAATCATTAGTGACACCCTTTTTGCTCGTTTGAGCTATATTTCCTGAGCATGTTTTCTTGTTATGCTTGTAGAACTTCTTGATCAGGCAGAATTTGTAGAGGCTGCTAGAAAGGAGTATGATGAGAACACTATTAATCCTGCTTCAGATCTTGGACTACTGGTTGGTGATTATATTAATGTTCCAGTCTCATAAATTAGACATATTTGAAAAAACTATCTAAATAATGATCATTGATGACAGGAGGAAGGTGAGAAAGGAAAGATGTTTTTCTTTCAGCTTCCCACTAATCTTCCCGTACTTAAGCAACCAGCTAGCACCAAGGGGAAAGAGAAGGCTGAGAACTCAGTATCTTTAGAGAGGTTTGGTGATTTAAAGAAAGGCTGCCCGTTAGAAGAGTTGCCAGGGGGATATATGGGGAAAATGCTGGTTTACAAGAGTGGAGCCGTCAAGTTGAAGCTGGGAGAAACACTATATGATGTAAGTCATACATCAACCTTGCCTGTACCTATAGATGCATTCATTGTCAGAAGCATATCTGTAGCTCATGCACATGGACAAACGTTTATACTCATTTTGGTAACTTTGTTCGTTTGGAGGCTCTGCATTTTCATGATTGATTGATTTATATACACTGTTAGAGCTTTCTCAAAAATGGAAATGCAGTAAAACACTTCTTTCATTAAACCATGAATGGATATTGTAAATTTTACAGTAGTAATTATTTTTATGGAAGCTGTTTTGATTAGCATTTTCTCTCTTGTTCTTCTTGAACAAATACCTTCTGTTAGTAGTACCACAAGTTATGCATGCTTAAAAAAAAAAAAAAATCTTTTGAGTTCGTCTTCTTTGTATTAGACATTTTTGTTGCATTTGGTTATTGAAGTTATAAGCTGAGAAATTATATGCAGGTATCGCCCGGTTCAGATTGTGTATTTGCCCAGGATGTTGCAGCGCTCAACACCAAAGAGAAACAGTGTTGTGTCGTTGGCAAGCTTGATAAACGGGTAGTTGTCACTCCGGATATTAGTTCTGTCCTAGATTCTGTGATTGATCTGAGCTGAGAACGACACAGGCAGCTAACAATGATGTAAACAAACCTTGTAGCATGTTGAAGGGAAACATCTGAAGCATGTTTTCGAAAACATGCAGCTAGAATTGTATAGCGAATACGGCAGGGTAGCATGTTTAACTACTTGTAGATGTGCTTAGGCTGTAATTCATTAGGAACAAAAACACAAACATCTTTAACAATCATAAACTAAAATAACATCCCTTTGTTTTTTTTTTTTCTTTTACAAGCATGACATAAAGCCTAAATATGTCCCAATGTCCATTATCTTACAACAGGTTGAGCTAACAGAACCAAATCTGAAGATACAAACCGTCATGTCGTCAAATTATATTCAAGCAGTGCGAGCTCGAGTCACAACCACAACCAACAGGACTACAACAGATAGCAAGAATGAGGTTCTCAGCCTTTCCTCAAATGGATCTGGGGTTCCTGCTGTTGTTGTCTCATTATCAGGAGGCGGCTTAAACAACTCATTGACTAGCTTTGTTATTTTCTCAAATAAATCCATGGCCTTTGCTTTAGTGTTGTCAAAAATCCACTTCACAATATTCGTTGCATTGTTGGATTCATCAGAGTTCTCATCCAAACTCTCATCAGAACTCAGTGGATTAATGTCTTCAGCTGCATAATCATGTAAATTTCAAGTGAATATTGTCACTAGATGGTAAAGATTTCTTTTGCATGTTTCTCTGAAAGCTTATAATATCATTGATCAACATAGGGGAAAATAGGCATACCAGAAAATGGATTTAACCAAAAAGGCAAAAACTGAAGCAATAAGTGAGGCATGCCCCATATCAGATGTAGTACATAATCAAACATGTGAAGAAAAAAAAGAGAGCAATGACATTAATGGTACTGACTTGTTTTAAGCATGCACTAAGCATGGTCCATCTAACATTCAGATGCTGTCAAATCAATGCAATTTCTGTAGTACATCAGATTATCAGATATTCGAAAAGGAAAATGATTTCCATTTTAAGAAACAAAATCTTCAAGTCAAGTGCGAATTACCATTGATTATCTAAGCAAAGCCATGATATCTGACGTCTTAAAGGAAGTTAGATGACTAGATTCAATAACATCACTAAATATTGTCATCAAGATACTACAGCAAGAGTTTTGTGAATGATCAATGAAACATGCACTGATGCTTTCCCAACGTTAATCCTTTTAGATGGAAGAACATGAGATTAATATGAACTGACCTGATAAGTTTAATTAACATACATTCATAGAACTCCAACCTACCTGCATGGTATGACTCTCTCAGCTCCCTCACCACCTCATTGTTCAAAACAGCATTCCAGACAGCTTTATCAGAAGACAAAGAAATGACCATTTTCTGCCAAAAAGTAAAGACTTTAGTGTTATATGTGAAATAATTTAATGAAACATAATGCTGAGCTTAATATAGCCAAATGTTTATTACCTTCCTTTTAGACAACAATATAACACAAAACCAGTATTCTAACTGCTTAGCAATTTTATACTCTGCAGCTTGAAAACACAATGACCTACTTACTAACTATTTACAGTGCTTCTGTTGATATGATATCCGTAGAGTGCCAAAATCTACTGATTTGAACATGAACACTATACTAGCTTGCAAGAAAATCCATAAAATTTTTACTCACTATGAACTAGTCATGCACAGGAATCAAAGAGTTGGTAAAATAAACAGACCTTAACCATCGGCTCTGTCTGCAATAAATGGAAAGCATCATAAACCCTGTTTGTTCCATAAGGTTGCAATGCTCCTGTGTTATACAGATGCAGAGAAGGCTCCATCCAATCTAACTCAGGCCCAGCAGATTGAACCCAGTGCACCGAGTCAGTTGGGCTTGAAATTTGATAGGCAACATCCTTGCCAGCATTATAAGAGACTTTATCCCTGATAAGCTGGGGACACGAGCTTGCATCGAAAACCCTATAATTACAAAAGACATTCAACAACAATGACTGCCAAATAATCTTTTCTCACATTTTACTATTTAAGCATTTAACAGCTGCAACCATCAAATAATCTTAAGTTCATTTCACAATTTTGATGTCATCTTCTTAGAACTTAATTTTGCAGTTAGTAGTAATTACTACTGACTGGTATCTGGTAAGGACATTATAAAAGCAACTAAACTACTTTGGAACTCATCATTGTTTGAGTGCTGTTATTAATCATTTCAGCTCAAGCCATAGTCATCATCATCCATAGCTTAAGATGCTTCACTATTTTATAATAGGTTATTTCGTTTTCAAACTATTCTTTTCTTAGTTCAATTAAATATAATAAAATATAAATAATTAACCAACATAGTTGTAGTTGATCACGCAATGTTCCAATAGCGACTATATCTTAAATAGATTATTTCGCTTTTCATATCATTGTTTTCTTTGTTCAATTAAATTATTTTGTTTATTTCATTTTCCAATCATTCTTTTTATATTTTAACCAAAACATTTAGGTGTAAAATCATTATTGTGCTTGCAAAGTAGCACAAATTTCTCTTAATTGACTGTGTATGCTATTGATTCCCCCTCTCTATCGCCATCACTATCAATCATGTTGATTATTAAACTAGGATTAAGATATTAAACTTGATTTGATAATTCGCTTTGGTGCTAATCTGGTGCAATCAAAACAAAAATGGCTGTAGCAATACAAGAAAAGATCAATAATTTCATCATTCCAATATCTACAGCAATAAGTAAAGAGAACATATTTTTCACTTCAATTTGCAAGAAATAAAATAAAAGAAAATTCATGATAAATAAATGAAAAAAAAAAAAAAAAAAACTAACCTTTGAAGAGCAGAGACAACATTTTGGACTTCACCAACAGAAGGAACAGTTCCTAAAACAATATCATCAAAAACCCCATGTGGGTGTGGCTTATCCTCTTCACAGCCATCCAGAAACACCCACTCAAACTCATCACAACAAGAAGCAGCAGCGGAAACAGGTGAGGAAGCAAAGGCAGGCCGGTTACTTGGCAACCCAGAATTGGCACTGATAGGAACACCACCATTACAAGAACCAAAGGCAGAAGCCCCAGAAGCAATAGAAAGATAACCATTACTGTTATTATTATTATGCCTTTGGGAAGCAGAAGTTGGAGAAGAAGGAGCAGAATGAAGTGGTTCTTGGAAAGCTGTAGGGTTACCAGTGGTAGCACCAGTTCTTGAAACTGCAGCTCTCCCAGCTGTCCTTAACACTTTGGCTCGCCCTGCTGACCCTCCTCCCATGCCTTTCCCTCGACCAAACATCATAACATGTATTATGAAGTAGCAGTTTTTGAGGTTGTTTTTGTCAGTTGCTATCCTTTTATATATTTAATTTAATAATAATTAAAAAAAAAAAACACACACACACACACATTAAATCTAGTGATGTAGATTTTCTTAGGTTCTTACTCTGTCTTCGTACCCACCTGTTGCTTTCGATCTCTAGAAAACTAGAACTTTTGACAGAACACTCTTTGCGTCGGGTGATGCTTTCGAGCTGTGTTTCTTTGTAGTTTGAAGTTTGGATAGGATAGGAAAATGCAATTTCTTTTATTTTTTATTTTCCATTGGAGGCCCCTTCAACTTTACCCTTTTGTTTTTTTACAGCAATGTCGTGCCTTTGCCATATTCTTATTTTCATTCATTGGATTCTTCTTTTATCTTTTTAGAGGTTATATTACTTTTATTTTATTTTCCTTGGACATTGGATTACTTTATAAAAACTATCATTATTATTTTTTTTATATTTAAAATTATAAAAATTAAATCTGAAAATTAAAAATTTAATATTTCATAAACAGATTCTATGACTCTTAACATAATTATTTTTAAATTAATTTTAAAAATTTTAAAAATAAAAACTTTAACTTCAAGTTCATTTATAATTTTTTTTAATGAGTCAATGTTTAATACAAATTAATACGACTTTTTTTTATATAATTAAAGACATATAACACAGTCTTATTAGTTTTTTTTTTTCTTCTATTTGATGATTTTTTTTATGGGAAATTAGTTGGAGTTCGGTGAGTAAATTCAAAATCTAAATTTCTCATTGTCTACAATTCAAATAACAATTTTAATATTTTAAAACCATTGACCCTTTTATTGTTGTTTGAAAAAAAAAAACAATTTATAATTCAATAATGGTATCAACTGCCTATTTTAATAATCATTGTGCATTTATCTTGCCATTGGTGTTGCTTTTAGGCAAAATGGAGCGAAATTTGGCATAGAAATCGGTGGGGCCAATTTGAAAAATGATATAAATTAAGGCCCTATAATCAAAGGAATAAAGGTTGATGCAGCAGGTGACCTCTCCGGAGTTCTATTTATGTTTTGGGACTCGCATGATTTATTAATCTTTCAATTTTCACCATTAATTTAAGCTCCTAGAGTCCGAATCCTAGGTCTATGCAAGGGACCCACATTTTTAATTAATCTTTCATTTTCACCCCTATTTTTCCACTCTCTTAATTCTTACTCTACCTTTGGGACATTAAGTATCAATTAAAAGTATGATGTGAAATTCTTTTGTATTATAAAAGATAATTGTTGGTGAAGTGTTTCTTTCAAATTTTATTGATTGATGAAGAATTTAGATTTTTTTTTAAATTGTTTAGATTAGAATATTTTGAAAAATTGTAAAAATATATATAATTTTTTATAAATTTACTGACCTAAAATAAATAATTTTTTTTAGGTCAATATGAAAAAATATATATATTAAGTAAAATCTAAAAACTTTTAAAAATTATAACTTCGTATCAATAATTTTTTTTTAATCAGGATTTGAATGGTTTCATTACCTTCAAATAATTAGGGTTTCAATGATTTCATTAACTTCAAATAATTATTGCTAAATAATTAATTGTCTGTCTGACCTTTGAGAACAAAAAATTTATTGTGATAAATCAACAGGTTGCTTTGTGCCCTTATCTATTCATTTTCTTGCATTAATTTGAGTTTTGTAACGTCGTACCTAAGTCGTTGATAAAATATTAAAATTTTAATTTTATGATTAAGTTTAATTTTTTATAATTATTAAAAAATTATGGTGAGTAGCAAACTCATAATTAATTGGAAATGTTTGGATTGGATAAGCTTAAGTTAACTTAATGGAATTGAATTATTCTATCATTTAAAAAAGAAAAAAATATATATATATATATATAATACTCTAAAGAAACAACAGATCCAACAGGGATATGAATGAGAATAAGTTCAAAATGCCAAAAAAATTAACAAGAATTACAAGTAAAATTTTGTCTAATACTGAAGTTAAGAATTAATAAATGATGAAAACAAGACAAAATGCATTGTAATTGTACAAATATGAAATTATGAATTGACTGGCAAAATAATTAGGGGATTAGGGATAGAACCGTGTTTTAACTTTTGTGGGTTTTATTTTATTTTATTTTATTTGACATTTACATAAACGTTCCATCTCTGCCAAGCATTCCCAAATAGACCTTAAGTTTTGTTGGCTTTAGCCCACCTAATTGCCTTGCTTCATTTTTCCTTTAATTAATTAACGAATTTTATTTCCTCACACTAATGGATTTGTTTATTTTAATTGGAAAATTTAGAATTTGATTGATATATGAAACAAGAGTCAAGTGCAGAAGAAAGGATTCGATTCTTGGAAAAAATACGAGAATTTGAAGGCTTGAAATTCAAGATTGGCATACAATATTATGGTTGGATTAAGACCCTCCTTTTAGAGTATAAAACTAATTGGTCTAATTGTACAATCCGTCCTTAGATAGAATGATGAATTTAATTTTTTATCATAATATGTCGAAATCGAAATTTTGTAAGTTAATAAAACAATTTTTTAATTTCAACCGTTAACTTTAATGATGTATTTATTGATTTTTTGCATAATAGTTAATAGATTTGATGATTTGTATTTTTGTATCGTATAAATTATTAAAATTTATATATTCATATAACATTTTATATAAAAATTACGTATTATAATTTATATGCACATAAAAATATAAAAAAAATATATTTTTTATTTTATTAAACTTAAATATAATTATTATTAAAATTTTAAGTTGTATTGTTTTTGTATTTTATATTCGTTTGGAATATCGTATTTTAGATTATCAAATTTAATAATTGATTATGTTGATATGATATTAATCGAGCTAATTATTAATTTTATTTATATTTTATATATTTTAAAATTATTTATTTATATGAAAGACAAAACGGGGTGGTTGACCCTAAATATTTCAAGCCTCAGTATGATTTTGTGGCCTATTACTCCTATTTTTGGGTCAGGCCGATTATAATAAAAATAAACAGACTTGAATCATTTTCACATGGCCCAGTTTTAATCTTGGTCCAGCTAAAATATGAACCAGAGAGCCCACTTGGACAGGACCCGGAAAGGGGTAAAATTGTCAATTCAAATGACAGTATGCCCTCTAAAACCCTAGCGACTAACGAGACTCCGAGTTCATATATCTCAAATTCGGCAGCTCCTTAGCCGAAGCCAACGACTGCGAGCTCGAGCAGCCATGGGTACGCCATTTCTCTTTAGCATTTCATATCTGATAGTCATGATTGAGCTAGTTAGTTACTCATTTGCTTTCCCGTCTGTCGTTAATACGATGATTTAAATATGGGACTTGTTTTTTTTTTTAATTTTTTGTTCATGTGGAGTGATGGGTTTTTCTCAGCTTGATTTCTTGTCCCTTGCTGATTGAATATATGAACTTATTGAAGGTTTGGTTTTGACCGATTGGGTGCTAAATTGTAGAAATGGGCTTTTCGGGTTATATTTGATTGCTTTTATATATGTGGATAAATCTTTGTTTTGGCATTTTGGGTTCTGATTTGCGATGATTTGATTTTTGTTGGGATTTTTGTGAAACTAGGGGCTTATAAGTACGTGTCAGAGCTATGGAGGAAGAAGCAATCCGATGTGATGAGGTTCTTGCAGAGGGTCAGGTGCTGGGAGTACCGTCAGCATCCTTCCATTGTGCGAGTTAACCACCCAACTCGCCCTGACAAGGCTCGTCGCTTGGGTTACAAAGCCAAGCAGGTAAACTGATTAATCGTCTCTTTAATATTGGTTTTTGATCTTGTAATTTTTGGTTTATTATATTCGTTTTGTTGTAGTTATATGATTATCCTTTTTTTTCTGAAAACCGCAAGCAGTAATGTTGATAAAAGGCTTTCACTCTATTCTCCAGTGTGGGTTCAATCTATCTTGGTTAACTATTGTTATTTACTTACTGTGTTTTCTGGTATCTCAATTTGGAATTGTTATCCACTTAAAAAACACATGAGTAGGAATCCAACAAGGAATGGAACTGTGGGAAGGAAAGTTTTTATTTCCAGGGATTTGAAAACCAGAACTGTGTGGTATCTAGAATTCTAGATTATGCATTTTCTTTGCTTAGTGGAGTTTATGATATTTTTACTTTAATAAAGTGTTTGATTCAATGTTTATGCATGCAATGACAATGTTTTACTTGTTTTATATATATTCACTTACTTCATCTAAGCATTTTCTGCTTCTGGGTGAAACTCGGGAAATCATATTTTAATCTGATTATTATCTGATACCTCATATGTAAGTTGTCATGGGCATGGTTGCCTTCATATAGTTTCCTGTTGTAATTTGTTGTCATTTCTGCATGAAGCACATTTTGTGTCTGTTAATATTTTTTCTGCCTGTAGGTTATATCTAGTGACTAAGTCTGCTTTTTAACAGGGTTATGTTGTGTATCGTGTCCGTGTAAGGCGTGGTGGAAGAAAGAGACCAGTTCCTAAGGGTATAGTGTATGGGAAACCCACAAACCAGGGTGTTACCCAGCTGAAATTCCAGCGCAGCAAACGATCAGTTGCAGAGGAACGGGCTGGTCGGAAGCTTGGTGGCCTTAGGGTTGTGAACTCGTATTGGATCAATGAGGTGATTTCTACCGCCAAGCGCAATTATTTTAACATATCAGTTATTCTTTGGAGAAAGATTTGATTGAGTAAATTCGATCAAACATTTTATGATCATAGCATAAGAATTAACACCGATCAATTGTATAACTTTCATCTTTGTAGATTATATCAATTTTCATATGGAAATTGATACCCAATTCTATTGTGGGATTACTTAGTTTGGTTTGGTGTTTAATGCTCTGAGATTTTATCTTTGCAGGATTCAACATACAAATACTTTGAGGTCATCTTGGTTGATCCTGCCCACAATGCCATCCGCAATGACCCAAGAATCAACTGGATCTGCAATCCGGTGCACAAGCACAGGGAACTCCGTGGACTCACCTCTGCTGGCAAGAAATACAGGGGTCTTCGTGGTAAGGGACATTTGCACCACAAGGCCCGACCATCAAGAAGGGCAAACTGGAAGAGAAACAACACTCTCTCTCTTCGCCGCTACCGTTGAACCTCTTCACCATATTTGGTGTTTTTGCTACTGTCTTACCTTCGTTTCTGTTGTAGGGTCGAGAATTTTGAGACAGTTATATTGTGTTTGGACATCCTTAAATCATCTATGTTGAGACTATTCAGATTTGTGCTATCTAAACGTGTGGGATATTT